AATCCAAAAAAATTCTAAAAACAAGTGCATGAAAGACTCTATCTATTTCCTTGTAAGATTAAAGTTTGGTTTATCATTCTGTAGATTAATAGCATTCTCTAAAATGAAGTTCACTACTGAGGAAGAATATATTTGAAATGATTTTTAATTTGAAAATAAACTCAACGTCGCTTTAATGCGTTTCAATCCTTCGGTAATCATGGAATCTTTGATTGAAAATACTAGGCGAAACCAGCCTGGCTGAGAACAACCTAAATTATAGCCACGAGAAACGAAAAGGCCATTTTCAAAGAATAATTCAAATAAACGGTTTTCCTCTTCAAAGGTAACGTGTTTCATAAATGGACGGAAGTCGGCCCAAATAAAGAAGCCTGATTGAGTGGTGCGCACTCGAATACCCATCGATTCGAGTTCTGATTTGACATACTTATATTTTTCTGTAAGGCGCGAACGATTCAATTCAATAAATGCACGTATCCATTCACGGTCAGCTACAAGCGAAGTTAAGGTTTGTTGAACTACTCGCGAAGGCACCATGAAAAAATTAAGGTTAGTAGCTATTGCGCATAAATCAGAGGTACCCGCGTACATAACACCAATATGAGCTCCACTCAATGTGAAGTCTTTACTGAATGACCAAAGAAAGTGGGTACGAGTTGGATCTGGTAATGACATATATCTTAACATTGATTCAAATGGTTTCTCATTAACGAACAAGCTAAATGCATAGATTTCATCAATAACAACATGTAGCTGTTTTTCTGCAGCGAATTCGAGTATTGATCGGATAGTAAGTTCATCGTATACATCACCAAGTGGATTTTGCGGATTGACAAGAATAATCATCCGTGGTCGAAGACCATCAGCTAAAGCAACTCCATAGCCATGTTTAAATATATCAACTGTTAATCGAAATTCTCCCGATTCTTGATCGAGTAAGGGACAACGAACAACCCGATTACCCGTCAGAACTGAAACATCTTGATCGATCATCGGATAATAAGGTGCTGGAATGAGTATTGCATCACCGGGGTCGGTCAATAAGTAACTATAAACAATAAATCCAGCATTTGCACCACTGGTAATCATCATTCTGGTAGGCATTAATTTCTGCCTATCAAGTCGAAAATGTTCGTGAAAGAAGCGACATAACTCTTCACGAAACTCGACTTCACCAGCCGGATGGCCATAGTAGTTCATAGGTGCTGTCCATTTTTGCACAGCATTTAATTTTTCGACAAGCTCCATTTCACAAAGCATGTTTTCTGCAACGCCAAAATTGAGAATACCCTCAGGATTTGTCCTTTCATCATAATGATTTGATTTCAACCGAATAAAATAGGGCATCAAATATGACAGCGATTCACTGAGTATATTAGCCCGAGTAGATAGATTAGTTGATGCCATGTGATATCTGAAGCAAATAATAAAATTTATTTCAACATACGATTTTCAATGAATGTTGAAGTATGTAGCGAAAAAAAGTGAATCCCATCGCTTCTGTCTCTCCTCCATAGATAGTAATAGGCGTATCGGCGTCTGTCATGACTACTAACATTTTTATGAATATTGTGCATGTTTGTTTTTGACCTACGCTTATCTTCTAGTAAACATAGACGAGTTTTTTCATCCTAGTTACAGAGTATCCATCATGTTTCGCATTTTGATCCGGTAGTGATTGTGTTGAAAGTATTTTTTATAATGAACCTGGTCTCTTCGAAATCAAATAGATCATTATGGGAGTACTTATTTATCTATTTCATTAGGATCAATGCCAGATATTTATTGTGAATATCAAATGCTAAAAAAAAATAAAACTCAATGATTAATGTTTATGGAGTACCGATACATATAGATCAACTGTGAATAAAACGCTGGATGAAAGAACCGAATTCATCGCAAATAATTGACTATTCAGATGAAAATAAAATGAATTATGCATATTTTCAACCTAACACAGTAATAGATTCCGAGAATTAAAATCAATTAAAATTTCAAAATCCTATCAACCTAATCGGACTAGTGATTTTGATTATAATCGATTATAATCTTGGTTTTCTCGTAAAAGAATACGATTGAAAGGCGATTATAAGTTACATGTGAGTTTTTGACCAAAAGATGGGATATATGTAGGGTTATAGAGGACGACTTCCTCTATCTCGTGGTATATATATTATTGAATTCTTTTGTGCACCGTGGGAGAAAACTGAAATTATAAAACTAAAAAATTCACATTTTTTATATAGACCCCTATATAAGAATCTAAATCCTGTTCGATAAATGCAGAACCTGATCTAACAGGGTGTATATCACTCGAGTACGACAACGCCTACTTGCATATTCTATTTCATTTTCCTTCATATGTGTGTAATGATGTGGCCTATCAAAGTTCAAACAAAAATTTTTCACATATTTCTTCATAGTGCTGCCTAAAATAATATTTATAGCCTCGTGTTTGTCAATCTGAAATGTAATTGAAATATACAGAATTGTAGAGATTTTTTTGCTCTACAAAATGGTATATAGAGTACTTAAATGGTAATTTATCTGTAAAGTCTATTCATGTTTTAATGAGACATGATGATGCATAGCAGAGCATGACTTGTACAGAGATGATTATTTTCATTAGAAAGAAACTTAGGGCATTTAGAATCTATGCCTATAATATGCAGTTCGATTAAGATTGAGACAATCAGGGAAATCTTGGTTGTGTCAAATGCATTATTAAACATTATGATTTCACCATAAATACAACATTGTTAATGCCCCATAATAAATATCTGAGTATTAAAGAGCTGTACAAGTCATATATCGGATTTTATCGAAATGAAGTATATTGTTTCATCTATTGGATAACAAATCACATTATACTTTTCGAATATAACTGAACGTTTCAGAAAATTCTAGAATATTCGTGACCGTCGTCACTGTATATACATATATACATGGGACACTCCAAAAGTTTTTTCGTCCGTCTCTTCTAAAAGCCTCAGTTTGAGTTCAAGTATTCTGTTATAATGCTTAGACATATTTAGGACTACGTGCAAAATTTCAGACTTCTAAGTCTTGTACTTTGCTGTGGTTCGTCATTTCTTTTATGGCAGGTGCTCGCAATCTGCTAACGGATGACCCATCATAAATAGGAGGACTTTGCATTTCATATCGTGATTCCTAAATACGTTTTATTAAAAAACAAAATATACCAAAAGATGTAGCGTGAAAAGCTCTATAATTTACAATGGACAACTAATTTTACAGTTGCATTTTCTGTGTTAAAAAATCGACAGCGTTCTGAGCAATCAAATTTCGACGCTGTGAAAACAATATTTTTTTAATAAAAGACGAATTTGTTTTTTTCTTATTTCATCTTTGCTTTACCTGATATCTTCTATTAAACAAAAAGCAAAACATACCATAAGACGCAGCGTGAAAAGCTCCACAATTTACATAAGACAGCTTATTTTACAGTTGCATTTATTTATTTTGAAAATCGGCAAAATTCTGAACGATCAAATTTCGACGTTGCAAAAAAGTATTTTTTTTCGTATGCGATGAACGCGTTTTTTTTCTTATTTGTAACCTGATATGTTTTATTGAAAAAAACAAAATACACCACAAGATGCAGCGTGAAAAACTCTACAATTTTCAAAGAACAGTTTATATTATATACGCAGCTTTTGTTATTAAGAAAAAGCAAAATTCTAAGCGAGCAATTTTCTAGGCTGCAAAAATTCTATACGAACGAAAACTTCCTCTTTTCGTATTTCATCCTTTTATCACCCAATACGTTTTTTTCTCAAAAAACAGAATATGAGGAAAGATGCAGTGTGAAAAGCTCTACAATTTTCAAACAACAGTTTATTTTAATTACATCCTTTTTCTTTCCAAAAAAAGTAGCAAAACTTTCTGAACTACTTCTCGTAGCGTCGAGAATTGGTCATTCAGAATACTGTTTATTTTGAAAGAAAAAGTGCACAATTAATATAAGCTTTACACTGTAGATTGTAGAGCTTGTCACGCTGCATCTTTTGGTATATTTTCTTTTTTTTTAATAAAATCTTTTTGGGGATTAAAATATGAAATGCAAAGTTCTGTAATTTATTACAAGTCACCCATTATGTAGAGTATAGAAAATGGCATCTTATTAACGTAAAAGAAATGATAGATTACAGCAAAGTACAAGACTTAGAAGTCTGAAATTTTGCACATAATCCTAAATATGTCTAAGCATTATAACAGAATACTTGAACTCAAACTGAGGCTTTTAGAAGAGTCGGACGAAAAAACTTTTGGAGTGCCCCATGTATATATATATGTATGTATATTTATTTATTTATTTATTCATTCTTAGCATAATATCTACATTTATCGATAAACTGTTATAATAAAAAAAAGATCCATTGCTTAAGTATATTATCATTTTTCTATTACGTCATATTGCCTCTAACTGATATATTAAATTATGACTAAGTATTATATGTGTACACTTCCTACTGGATGTTGTATTGGGTGTAATGCAAGTTTGTTTCGGGGTGGTGCTGAACAGCGGTCAAGAACAAGAAACAAAAAAACTATAACAATGAAAACAGGAATATCACGTCATGTTTTTGATGATTATCATATAATTTTGCGACATCATCATAGTTTATGTTCCGATTGCATTATGCTTGATGTTTCTCAATGGATTACCAATATCAAAGATTCATCGGTTGAAATCAACAGATCAATATCTAGTCTATTATCAAAGAAATTGGAACCCAAAAACAAAAGAGTATTGCTACCTGTCAAGTTTGAAGAGATGAAGGAAGATGAATGCAAAATATTTTCCAGACTTTCGAAACAACAGATACTGACAACGGCATCAATAACCAACTCCTCGAACCAAAATGTTTTCATATTTTTTAGGGTGTGGGTGTGGAATTAGTCAGACATTTACAGGTACTTTATTCGGATTAACTCAACCAAGAATATCACAGATATTTCACGAAACCGTCAAGAAAATGTCAGAAGTTTGTGTACCATTGTATATTGGATCTCAAGCTTTTCAACGACATGACATTATCCACAATCATTCTCCAGAATGGGTGAAAATGCTGTTACCGAATGCTGTTGCTATGATAGATTCTACATATGTGTATGTACAAAAGTCTTGGAATTTTAATAATCAAAAGAAAAGTTATTGCCAGCATAAGGCCGACAATTTGGTAAAAATGATGCCTATTATGTTGCTCGACGGTAAATGGTTCGATATTTACGGCCCATATTTCTCAGACGGATACAATAAAGACGAACTCATATGGAATACTCTCAGCGATGATAAAGTAGAAGATTATGAAAAAAAAGATTTATTTGCACATAGTCAACAGCTTCATGCAATATTCTCCAAAAATTATATGTTTATCGGTGACAGAGGTTTTGCAAGATGTAAAGGAAAATGGAGCTTATTTACACCTGATTCAATATGTAAAGGTGAAACACAATTGTCAACTGTAAAAGCAAATCAAACAAGGTGTATAACTAGAGTTCGTAATGCTATTGAACGCGGCTTTGGAAGATTAAAACAATGGAATGTTATTGGTTCTGTTGTAAATACTGATTTTATACCTGTTATTGGTTCAATAATGAGAATACTATGTGCTGTTGACAATGCTTACTTTTCTAATTTGGTGCTAGATAATAATGACACTCTTGAACACGCTCAATATACAATAAGAAATATACAATTAGAGAATGAAGTTGTACACATGGAAGCCAATACAACTGGTTGGAAAAAAGCCAACACAAGCGATATATCAAGTATTATTACGTCCTACGACGAGAATGATGTAAAGCAATGCAATGGTGAATATTCGGTAAGAATAGCACATGCATATTTAGGACATATTCAACAAGAGTGGTCAACTTACATCCATCCTGATTTTCCATCAACAGTTAAAATAAAAAATATTATATCAAGATACAAGACAACGGACAATCCAAAACAGCATACTGTATGGATACGGTTTGGTCATAATAAACTTGACGATATTGCTTCTTATTGCACTTGCAAAAGCGGTTTGCGTACTGCAGGTGGCACTTGTTCTCACGTAACCGCAGCTTTAATCGCTTTAATTCATTGGAAAAACAATAAAAAAATACCAAGTTTTTATACAACAGCTTCAGCATTATTTTTCAATGTTTTGGATTGTACCACATACAAGAAGAGCAAAATGAAACAAGCATCAGAAGAATATTACGGAGCAAGTAGTGATACTGAAAGCTAAACAACATCAATAAGTCAAGGAACAGCAAGTACTGAAGTAACAGATGAAGAATGTATCAGTAGCAAAATGTCCGATGAAGACTCTATGGACGCTCAGACAACTGATGCACAATTCACAAGTAGTGAAACGAGCGATGAGGATGCAAGATATGAATTGTATACTGATGAAACACAGTGAAGAAACGATAACAGTTTAAAATGTTTCAAAAGACCAATTTAATCTTTAGAATATTTCAAAAACGACAAGAACTGTTGACTTCTATTACTCCTTCATGATGTTTTCTAACTTGTAGGATTCTGGTTTTGCTCGGGAGCTTTTTTCTATAGGCACTTGAGTCTCATTTGAAAGGACACCGCCGGATAAGGTCGTAAATCTGCCACCCCCCTAGATCTCATCTTCAATAGAATAGAAAGATAGAGCATGAAATTCTGCACATTTCTGTCTATTTATTTTGATTTTTGCTGAATACAAAAAAACCATTTCGTGGACCAAATAGTCTGGGGGGTCTATCGCTTTTGGACATTTCGAATAATAAGTATGGTATTTATAATTTTTTCTGTTGTAAACCCAATATGAAAACTAATAGCGTAGATCGACGTAGTTTTTTATGCTCTACAAAATGGCGTACTGATCAGATTTACCATTAACTTCTCTCTTAGATTATGTAAGATCATATAGGTGCGATTCTCATATCACAGACGAATTTTCATACTTTTGTAAGCTGCTGTTTTGTTTAAAAGTCGAAAAAGAACTAAAAATCTTAAGAATAAAAAACTGCGCCGTCTCACGCTCTATCAATCTATACGGTTTTCAGAAAAATCTATTCTGTTCTAGGGTCTGTTTTTACCAAAATCTTCTAAGAAACTGCCCATTTTGAGAATACTTTTGGACCATTTTCATATTGAATCTTAACCTAATTTTAACTTCAGAGCAAAATGAATATCATATTCGGAATCAGCGCAAAAAACTACGTTATATCATATGCATTTCAGCGAAAATAATTTTTTTCAGAAAATTTCGATGTGGTCCCCCTCAGCAATTTTTTTCTCAAGTTTCGCCTGTGGTCCCCTAGGGTGAATTTGTCGTAAAAAAGTATTTTCGCTGAAATGCATATGATATAACGTAGTTTTTTATGCTCTACAAAATGACGTACTGAT